AGCAGGTGTAAAGTGTAACATATTTACAGGGTATGAAAAGTATGTATAGACATTAGTGAATTTTTATTGTGGTTATTTATATTGGGGAAAATAAAAGAAATGTATATTGGTTATGTATCTTAGGTGGAAAATAGGGTAGGCTAAAATAAGCATTGCTTCTGCCTGTTCCTTTTTTGGTTTAAATCCAAGTTGTTAATGTTGTTTTGTTTGAAAAGAAAAATTTTATGTTAATGCCATAAACCAAAATAAAGACCGAAAGAAAGAAGAAAGAAAGATCCAGGCGCTGCCCCAGAACACAGGAGCCCCAAGGAGACTGCAACCAGAAAGGCCCCCGCCTCCCTCGAGAGGCACAGAGGATCGCCCCATGGGGCCACAACCAGCAGCCGGCAGAGTCCCGGGAGATATCAGCGGCAAGCCCACAGGCCCGCCCGCAGCCTCCCACTCCCTAGCCGGCCGAGCCCGGGACCCAGCGACCCGGGAACCAGGGGCGACCATCCCCGCCGGGGACCCAGCAGAGCCCAGGGACCCAGACCCCACCAGGCCACCACAGGGATTGATCAGGCAGACGCCAAAAATCTTAAACCCCCTGACTGCCATATGCATCGCTAAGAAAACTATCCTCTTGAATTGAAAAATAGAGAAACTCTCTGCATTAACCAGTATAGAAATCTTTTGTTAGATCATATTACACTTGACATAGCCTCTGCTTCCACTTCAGATCAATCTCTCTGGGCTCCTTTGATCGGTTCCATCACATAGCGAGGGTGGGGGGCCGTTGAGGTTGTCCTGCGGGATGGGGGGGGGGGGGGGGGGTCTGAGTTTGGAGTATCCGGATGTTCCCTGGAGGTGGGTTCACTGGGGGTGTCTGGGACTGGGGGGCCATTGCCCCCCTCTGGAGGTGCTTGGGTTGCCTTGGGGGGTGGACTGCTGGCGGTTGTGAGTGGGGCCCCTTGGGGATCTTGGCGGTGGCCATGGGTCACTGCCTGGCAGCTGCATTTCCCCTGGGCGGGTCTGGGTGGGGGCCTGGGGGCTCGGGGTTTGGGGGTGGCCGGCCCCGGGTGGGGATCTGGGCGGGGCCTTGGGAGTCAGGTCCTGACATATATTCTGCCGGGAAGAAGGCAGGAACATGCAACAGTGCCTGGCCCAGGTTCGGGGGCCTCAGGTAGACCTTGGCTCCTCTGCCGTTCCATCACAGGGGAGGGGGAGGTCCAGGAGGGGGAGGACCCAACCTTACCTGGATGTCCCATGTCTTATATATTCTGGAAGTTGTGCAAATGCAGGGATGGGCATAGATATGCTTCTGGGGTGGGGCTGGGTTGGTGCCCTCGGACTCTGTGAGGCTCTGTAGTGCTGCTGCTTTGGGCCCTGGCAGGATGGGCTGGGGTCTCCATGCCCTGGGTGCCAGTTTGACAACAGAGGTGCCTATTGGGGCCAGTAGGGGAGCTGGCTCCCTGGAGGGCTAAGCCCAACCAGCCATTCCTCCCCATCCCTGCATGTTCCTCTCCTCCTGCTCCCTCACATCATCACACAAACATACACATAGGACCTTGGGGGGCGGGCAAGTCAGGGAGTGCGGGTATGGACCCCATTTCCGCATTCCTGTGGCAACCTGCCCCCCAATTTTATTTGCACCTTATACACTTCCACTGACGACATTCCACACAAACACACACTTAGGGCCTTGGGAGTGAGCACATTCAACGGCACTTGGCAGGGAGATTTCTCAGCCTCCTCCCGAGTGCCGGTGCCCACTTCCAATTTTAAACTGCACTTAGACACCGAGGGCTGTGGGTGCAAGTGAGGTGGTGCGGTGGCATCAGCTGGCATAGGCCAGACAATGCCTGCACTGCCCGCTCACCACAGCCATGGAATACACCTCATCAACACACAACACTATATTGGCGCAGGCGGAGGGAGACTAGGGGTCCTAGCACACCTCTGTTTTTGCTTGGGTTCCGTGGGCTGGAGGCTAGGAGGGAGATCTGGCCGTCTGGTTGGGGTCTGGGGTGGTGGGTTGCTGTACTCAGCATTGGGCTGGGAAGCCTTCTCATCAGCACCCCAGCAGAAAGGGTCAAACTCTGGTTACCGGTGATGGTTGTACCCAATGTGCAGCAGTACCGGGACCAGAGTCAATAGGGTGTGTATGGGGAGCATGAGTGGGTGTCCGGCATGCATTTTTGTAAGTCTTTGGTTGTATGTGTATGTGTGAGCATGAGGGAGGGAGTGTGTGACTGTGTTTGTGTATGACTGTATATGTCAGGTGGGGCCTTTGACTCCTCCCCTCTCCAGGAACTTCTTTTGATGTTATAGATCTTCGTCCCCCCTCCCCCTGCCACACCTGGTGTGAGGGGTTGTGCCTTGGTCTGCCTGAGTGTTCGTGGCAACCGGGTCTGTGGGTTTAAGATTTTGGCATCTGCCTGATAGATCCCGGTGGCTGCCTGGTGGGGTCTGGGTGCCTGGGCTCTGCTGGGTCCCCGGCGGGGGTGGTCGCCCCTGGGTCCCGGGTCGCTGGGTCCCGGGCTCGGCCGGCTAGGGGGTGGGAGGCTGCGGGCGGGTCTGAGGGCTTGTCGCTGATGTCTCCCGGGACTCTGCCGGCTGCTGGTTGTGGCCCCCCGGGGCGATCCTCTGTGCCTCTCGAGGGGGGCGGGGGCCTTTCTGGTTGCAGTCTCCTTGGGGTTCCTGTGTTCTGGGGCAGCACCTGGATCTCTGAGACTTGGTGCTCCCCCTGTCTCCTGCGCATCTTTGGGGGGCGGATCTGTGGTCCCTCACACTCTCTGTTGGACGCTCCTATAGAGAAACCTTACATAAACAAGCGTGTGTACACACACAGGTGCTCACATGGTGCTCTCAAAAGTATGGGTTTGGGCACGTTAAATACAGGTCTTAAGATTATGGTGGGCACTTAATGCACTGATTTATTATCGTGATTCTTCAGTTAAGCAATGTTGATTATATATTTCTTCGTCAAGTTGACGCAATGATAGCTTGATCTTGTTGTATTGTTGTTGTGTCCCATTTTTTTTTTTTGCCCTTTTGCTTTTTTTTGTCTTTTTCTGCAGATCTAGAAGCAGACTCATTATTGTTTATTTTTGTGGAACCCCCCCACCCCACCTTTTCTTTTCCTTTCTCTTTCACCTCTGTCTCCGTGTCTGGTCGGAATTACAAAGCATTCAAAAACAATAACAATAAAGTTTTAAGTATCAGGCGTGACATTAAAAGCAGACGCTTTAATGCTCCACCTGAGAGTAAATCTGTAAGGCGTGTTACCAGCATTCAGACATCAATTCGGCTTGCTTCACAGCCAGACAGGACACGGTAAAAAAAAAAAAAAAAGAAGAAGCGCCTGACCTGGGCTACAGAGAAGCAGCACTGGACTGTTGCTCAGTGGTCCAAAGTACTTTTTTTGGATGAAAGCAAATTTTGCATGTCATTCAGAAATCAAGGTGCCAGAGTCTGGAGGAAGACTGGGCAGAGGGAAATGTCAAAATGCCTGAAGTCCAGTGTCAAGTACCCACAGGCAGTGATGGTCTGGGGTGCCATGTCAGCTGCTGGTGTTGGTCCACTGTGTTTTACCAAGGGCAGGGTCAATGCAGCTAGCTATCAGAAGATTTTGGAGCACTTCATGCTTCCATCTGCTGAAAAGCTTTATGGAGATGAAGATTTCATTTTTCAGCACGACCTGGCACCTGCTCACAGTGCCAAAACCACTGGTAAATTGTTTACTGACCATGGTATTACTGTGCTCAATTGGCCTGCCAACTTTCCTGACCTGAACCCCATGGAGAATCTGTGGGATATTATGAAGAGAAAGTTGAGAGACGCAAGACCCAACACTATGGATGAGCTTAAGGCCACTATCAAAGCATCCTGTGCCTCCATAACACCTCAGCAGTGCCACAGGCTGATTGCCTCCATGCCACGCCGCATTGAAGCAGTCATTTCTGCAAAAGGATTACCGACCAAGTATTGAGTGCATAACTAAACATAATTATTTGAAGGTTGACTTTTTTGTATTAAAAACACTTTTCTGTTATTGGTCGGATGAAATATGCTAATTTTTATAGATAGGAATTTTGGGTTTTTATGAGCTGTATGCCAAAATCATCAATATTAGAAACAATAAAAGGCTTGAACTACTTCAGCAGTGTGCAATAAATCTGAAATATATAAAAGTCTAATGTTTATCAGGACATTACAGACAATAATGAACTTTATCACAATATGCCATTTTTTTTAGAAGGACCTGTAGTTTCTTTTCACAGGGAGGCTGAGCTAGTCATGAGAAGCGTATACATCCAGGAGGGAGTCAGATTAGAACCATTGTTCATCCATGCTGAAAGGAGCCAGCTATGGTTGTTTTGGACATCTTGTCATGGTTTATCCTGAACACTTGCCAAGGGAGGTGTTTCAGGTCTATCCCACGAACAGGAGGCCCCTGGGTTGACCCAGGACATGCTGGACCTATAGGGTACCTTGGAATGCCCTGGAGTCCCACCAGAGAAGCTGGTGTAGGGTTTGGACTTCCTTGACTAGGAAACCAAATACATTTATTTTTTTTACTTTTTTCTCAAATTTCCTTCAGATTTTGTATCATTGTGTAAATGCAACCCCAAACCACAATCTTACTTTTGAGCCTTTCTGACTTTTTTTGTCCAAACACATGCCTTGAGGGAAACCTTGAACCCACACAAAGCTGTGTCCTCACATGTTCTCAAACAATAAGGTAATAATGTACATTTGGGGTTAAAAACACCATAGCCTTGGAAATATGATTGCATCTTAATTATTTTGCATCTGTTTCCTACACTGTAAGTTGCACCAACAGCTCCATCTTATTATCGTTTTGTCTCCTTGAAACTTTAACAAAATACAAAAAATAGTCATGATTTCAGTCGTGTGTGAGTCACATATCTGTAGAATAATAACCCTGAGAACACAATGACCCAGCATCCTCTGTGCTGCTCAGATTACAGTTTATAAGCCAGATTTGTCCCCACGAGACAGCAGAAGACTGCTGACTGAGAGACATCAACATGGCACACAGTTTGATGGTAGCTGCTATGATTGTAATGACTTGTGCAGTTGAAGCATCTTATATGGTGCCTAATCCGGGTAAGTTTATTTATTTATAATTATTTTCATTTTTGTTGTGTTAAGTGTAAAAACATTTTACTCATTGCAAATTTTTTTCCTCTTTTTACCATGTTGGACACCAAAAAAGGCAAACCAGGTGAATGTCCAGCCATGTTTTATACATTCCTCCCAGCACAAAAGTGTCACTGTGACAGTGACTGCCCTGGAAAAGAAAAATGTTGCACTTATTACCATAACTCTGTCTGTGCTCCTCCGGTTTCAAGTAAGAGCAGCAGATCTTTTTGCCAAATGGTTGTTTTGCTCTACTTTTAACAGCCTTAGTGTGTATTTCTGTTTCCTCTCAGCAATACCAAGGTGCCCGATGATAAGAGGGGTACGGGTGATATGTATTGAACAGTGCTCTGGTAACTGGGACTGCAAACATCATGAAATATGCTGCTTCAACGGGTGTGGACACGTGTGCATGTCACCAAACCGAGGTGAGTTCTTGCTTAATCCTCACTTCACTCCCATCGTGTCAGTGCTGGATTCAAAGTGACTGAATCTTTTCTTTGTTGATTGTTTCAGAGAAGCCAGGATTTTGTGGAGACAGACGGTTCCCACGCACTTGTCGAGGTCACAGTTGTCATACTGATTTTCAATGCTACGGTGACCTGAAGTGTTGTCCAACAAGATGTGGCCGTTCCTGTGTAATGCCTAGTTATTGGCCAATAGACTAATGCGCTACACTCTCGGCCAGGATGCTGTGATCCATCCTGGTTTTGTCCTCATGTTTACGATTGTCCAGGAACATGAGGTCACTTCTGTACAAATGTCTGACAGGATAATAAATTACTAAGCGTAACAGCCTGAAGAAGAAATGTATGTTGAACAAATGCATTGACTAAATAATAACATTTATCTTTTAGTACTGCTTCTTGTCAAAATGACTCCTGACATGATTACATTTGAAAAAGCATCTCTTAACTAAATAAATAGCATTGTTTGGTGCCAGTTTAAAGATTGTTTTTCATAAACTTTGTCTTTCACCTTTCAGTTTTAATTTCATGAACTTCTTTCTTTTTACTTTTTAATTGTGTTTTTATTATTATTTTTTTGTAATGACCACCTGTAGATCTGAAGATCTTTTGATGTAAAATTGTTACTTTTATTTTATGTAACTAATTCAGAGAAAAAGACAATTAAAACAAGAAAATCAATCTCATTATTAATGCTGTTAATTTAACTTGTCTGCATGATCAGTGTGTATTTTCATGATGAAGAATACAAGACTATTTCCTGGTGTCATGGCGACCATACTAGCTGGTATCTACAGCAGTTCCTTTCCAACAGGAAGTCTTGATCTCTCACCACAGAGAAACTCCCTGAACTGGAAAAATACAGGTGTTTCTATAGAGCACAGGAGTAAAAGTGTCCTTTATGCAGATTTAAGAGATAATAAACTAAGGGAGCATGAAGCTGGTGTTAATTATATATTCTGGTCCTTTTTAACTAAAACAATTTTAGGATTAGCATTTTGTTGTTTAGTGACAAAAAGTTGTTGGGATCTAGCTGTAATAAGTCCAGAACATAATTCTAAGCTCCAGTGCAGAAAAGATGTTTGTCTTAAACATAAAAAACACAAAACATTTTTGTTCCAGTTTCCCATCAGGGTGATACTGAAAACATTTCTATACTCTACATAGTATTAAAGAAAGGAAATGATGGTTAATTAAAACATGAAGGGATTTATTCTTATGCATATTTAACCTAAAGTGTTTGAAGCATATTTTTTCAAATCTAACTGAAAAATTGTTTCTCAGTTTGGGACACTGTATATGACAGTTTCTACTGAGATCAAAAGCTTTATAGATATATTTCTTTGTTTTGACAAATTACATTTGCTGCCAGCAAATTCACAAAGAGGGTATTGCCTCCCCTGTCCGCCAGTTAGTGGCACCACTGAAGTCTGAGGCATTATAATGATATGTGAGTGCATGTATATTTGATTATTCCTTTCCTTTAGGGCTAGTTTGTTTATACTGAATTATGTCACCTTTAAAATGGATGAGATCTCATTGTTAGATGTTACTTTAGAGATCTCTGTTCTACTGGGTCACTTTTTCTCAAAGTGAAAGTGTAACATTTTGTTGTTTACTATTACCAATAAAATAATTCCTAATTTTCTAAGACTGAACAACTTTTTTAAAATCCTGATCCCTGATAGGAAGACGAATGTGTTGGTGTCCATCCATCCATCCATCCATCCATTTTCATCCGTTTATCCGGAGTCGGGTCGTGGGGGCAGTAGCCTAAGGCGAGAGGCCCAGACTTCCCTCTTCCCAGCCACTCGGGCCAGCTCCTCCAGGGGAATCCCAAGGCGTTCCCTGGCCAGGTGAGGGGCATCGTCCCTCCACCGTGTCCTGGGTCTACCTTTAGGTCTCCTCCTGGTTGGACGTGCCCGGAAAACCTCACCAGGGAGGCGTCCCCAAGGCATCCTAACCAGATGCCCGAGCCACCTCAACTGGCTCCTCTCGATGTGGAGGAGCAGCGGGTCTACTCTGAGCCCCTCCCGGATGACCGAGCTTCTCACCCTATCTCTAAGGGAGAGCTCAGCCACTCTTCGGAGAAAACTCATTTTGTCTGCTTGTATACGCGATCTCGTTCTTTCAGTCACTACCCAAAGCTCATGACCATAGGTGAGGGTAGGAACGTAGGTCGACCGGTAAATCGAGAGCTTCGTCTTCTGACTCAGCTCTCACTTCACCACGACAGACCAGTACAACACCCGCATCACTGCAGATGCAGCACCAATCCGCCTATCGATCTCACACTCCAGTTTTCCCTCACTCATGAACAAGACCCCGAGATACTTAAACTCCTTCACTTAGGGCAGGACCTCATCCCTGACCCGGAGAAGTCATTCTACCATTTTCCAAATCAAGACCATGGTCTCAGATTTAGAGGAGCTGATTCTCATCCCAGCTGCTTCACACTCGGCTGTAAACCGCTCCAGCGAAAGCTGAAGATCACGTTCTGATGAAGCTACCAGGACCACATCATCTGCAAAATGCAGAGACCTGATCATCAGGCCACCAAAACAGATGCCCTCCACACCTTGGCTGCACCTAGCAATCCTGTCCATAAAGGTTATGAACAGAATCGGTGACAAAGGGCAGCCTTGGCGGAGTCCAACTCTCACTGAGAATGAGCCCGACTTACTGCCGGCAATGCCGTCCAAGCTCTGACACCGGTCATACAGGGACCTAACAGCCCATATCAGAGGGCCTGGTACCGCATACTCCTGGAGTACCCCCCACAGGGCCCCCCGAGGGACGCAGTCAAACGCCTTCTCCAAATCCACAAAACACATGTAGACTTGTTGGGAAAATTCCCACGCACCCTCCAGGATCCCCCTAAGGGTATAGAGCTGGTCCAGTGTTCCACAGCCAGGACGAAAACCACATTGCTCCTCCTGAATCTGAGGTTCAACAATTTGACGGACCCTTCTCTCCAGAACCCCTGAATTGACCTTACCAGGAAGGCTCAGGTGTGTGATCCCCCTGTATCTGGAACACACCCTGCGGTCCATCACCCCGGTCTGCCAGTCCAGTTGGACTTTCCCCGATGTCCACGCGATATTGCAGAGCTGTGTCAGCCAACACTGCCCCACAACATCCAGAGCCTCCGAGCAGATCTCATCCACCCCTGGAGCTTTGCCACAGAGGCGCTTTTTAACCACCTCAGTGACCTCAGCACCAGAGATTTGAGAGGCCAACTCAAAGTCCCCAGACTCTGCTTCCTCACTGGAAGGCGATGCGGTGGGATTGAGGAGGTCTTCGAAGTATCCTGCCCACCGATCCACAACGTCCTGAGTAGAAGTCAGCAGCACACCGTCCCCACTGTAAATAGTGTTGGTAGCGCACTGCTTCCCCCCCACTTTCGGGCCTGCCTGGTCTGACCGGCATCCTCCCCACCATCTGAGCCAACTCACCACCAGGTAGGGGTCAGTTGACAGCTCTGCCCCTCTCTTCACCCGAGTGTCCAAGACATGCGGCCGCAGGTCAGATGAAACAACAAAGTTGATCATTGAGCTGCAGCCTAAGGTATCCTGGTGCCAAGAGCATATATGGACACCTTTATGTCTGAACATGGTGTTCATTATGGACAATCCATGACTGGCACAGAAGTCCAATAACAAAACGCCACTTGAATTCAGATCAGGGGGGCCGTTCCTCCAAACCACATCTCTCCAGGTCTCACTGTCGTTGACCACATGAGCATTAAAGTCCCCCAGCAGATCGAGGGAGTCACCGGAAGGAGCACTCTCCAGCACCCCCTCCAAGGTCTCCAAAAAGGGTCAGAACCCGTCCCCCCACACGTAGGCAGAGGGAGGCTACCATCTCATTCACTGGGGTAAACCCCAACGTACAGGTGTTACACTTCTGAAATGATGGGCCAACTCATCTCCCGTGCAACATATTTATTTTTACAGAAAAACTGTAAAGACAGAAAAATATCTGATTAATCAGTTCATTCAGCACGCAGGCCGTACACTGCCTCTCCACCACTGACACTACTTCTTCTAGTGTAGCTGACATTACCTTATACAAGTAACTTATACAGTTCTATATTCATATGCACCAATTTTAATAACTGGTTAAATCACCAAAATACATTTTACTACACCCATGAATAACACAGTGAACTCTCATTAGGTTTATCTGGTTGTTTTTACTACTGTTTTAAGCTATTTATGAACCTGTCTTTGTAACTGTATTTATCAAACTAGATTTCTTTCAGATAAACATCTTTCCTTAGCGTATTTTTACAGCATTCACTTTTCAGGAACTAAGCATGCATCAATTGACATCTTCTCTTATTGTGCAAAACATACCTCTTGTGGCTTTAACCCAAAATACACCTGCCATGAACTTGCCATTTTTCGGTACAGTCTAATACTTGAATCGGCACAGGCTAACAACTGGACCAACTTGGAAATGAGCTCTTTAGCCTAACATTCACCACACACAAGACACTCGTCATTAATTGCCACTGCTGTCTGTCACTATTATAACATCTGTTTATCTTAGCAACCCCCCAGCTTACCTGTAAAGACAGAAAAATATCTGATTAATCAGTTCTTTCAGCACGCAGGCCGTACACTGCCTCTCCACCACTGACACTACTTCTTCTAGTGTAGCGTCAGCTACCGATGTGTACAGGACTGAGCGCCCTCTGCTGGCGGAACGTATATAACAATAGAACTGACATTGTAGTGGCCTTACTAAAAGAAAGTGTCTTTGAGGCTAAAATAAAATGGGGGGCTACTATTTTCATGTCTCTGTCTTTCACATAGTGCCACACTCTTCCCCACAAAATTAAATGTCTCCTGACATTTCTGTCTGCATCATCTATTAAACCATAGCTTTAACATACTCCCACAGCCCATGGTCTCCAGAAGCCAATACAGTCAATCGCCTGAGCCGTAGTCACTGTACAGGTCCTCTGAACCAAAGTTGGCTGACCTAAAGTGTCATAGCTCAGTACAGTTGGTCGCTGTCTTTGTCTTTGAGGTCATTGCCTCACAGAGTCAGTCTCACTACCAGTTGCAGCTCGAATGTCAGCCATACTATCACCCCGCAGTAGTCTGTCATTGTCAGAGCCCTTGATCTGCTGAGGCACAATCTCTTCACTTTGGGGTGGCAAATCCTCTTCGCTCTGTAGTGGCGAATCCTCTTCTTGACAGCGGAGACTCAGATGAGGCTGGAAGGACTCTGCCAAAGGGTTAAGCAGAGTCTGTCTCTGTCGTCTCCCTGGAAACGGCCTGAGGTGCCACTGGAAGGTGCCACTGTCGTCATCATCTGATGTGTCGCCATTCCCTGGCTGTTGCTGTCTACGCAGAGGTCTGGACTTCTTCCTTGTCACCGTCGAAGAGTCTTTCTGGGGCTGACCAGTCTGTGTTGATGGCTTCTCCAGTGGCAGGAAGTCACAGGGCAGTAGGAGATTCCTGTGCACCACTTTATCTCTGCCCTGGCCATTTTCAGGGCTGATCACATACACTGGACTGTCATCTGCTTTCCTGTCCCTCACTTTGTAGACTTGGTTCTCCCAAAAGGACTGGATCTTTGCGGGACCACCTCGAGGAGTGAGATTTCGGAGGAGTACTCTATCCCCAGGCTGAAGATCTCTCCCTTTAACTTTCTTGTCGTAGTACACTTTGCCTCGAGCAGCTTCCTTGGTAGCAGTTTGAGAAGCCACGGTGTACGCCTCCTGCATTCTCTTTTTCCAGCAGCTAACATAGTCATCATAGTCCACATGAGCTTCATCCCTTTTCAGGTCGAAGAGCAAATCGATGGGCAGGCGGGGGGAACGTCCGAAGATGAGGTAATAAGGGGCGTAGCCTGTTGCCTCATTC